GGGCGGGCGGGCGGGCGGGTGGGTGGGTGGGTGGGTGGGTGGGGTGTGTGTGTGTGTGTGTGTGTCTGCCTGTCTTCCTTGAAGAGGTCGCATCTCACCATGGGGAGGTGGTCGCCTCGGCCCGCTTTCGCATGTTGTGTTGTCATGCTTGTTCCTGCAGGCGGGGATACGATGTGTATGGTTTTAGTCCCCCATCAGGAGTCGATGCAACGTGGGAGCCAGGCCGCTCTCTGTGTGTGTGTGTGGGTGTCGCTCTGTGCTGTGATTGTTCGGCTTGGTGTCTCTTCGGCTTAACCTTTCTCGGCAAGGCGACTGGTGCTGCGACGGGACAATCACCGGAGGCCGTGCCGGGAGGTGCTAAGTTGGAACCGCCAGTGATGCTGCACAGCCTATGGTCAGGCTCTGGAGGCTGATGTCATGCCTCTGCAGGCCATTGGCATCCCAACCCAGACCACCTACAGCCTCGCCTCCTTCCCGCCCCAGGACTCCACAGCAATGCATGTTCCGACACTTACGACATCGTCTGCTGCAGCCGGTGGCTCAGGTTCTTTGCAGCCGTTGTTGTGGAAACTAGTCTCGGGTCGTGGTTGTGATGTCAGGACAAGAAGGCATGCAAATCCACAGATGGTGCGGCTATGCATGTTCAGGCCACTGAGACAGCCCTTGCCATAACCTCGAAAACGTTCCGCTTGCAGGACCCGACAAGTACGAAAACATCACCTGCAGCCAAGGGCTTAGGTTCTTGCGGCCGTTGTTGTGGATGCTAGGCTGCTTTTCTGGGGCCGTGGTTGTGATGTCAGGACGAGAAGGCATGCGAATCCACGATTCGTGCGCCTATGCATGTCCAGGCCAGTGATACAGCACTTGCCACAACATTCGACCCATTCCGATTGCAGGACTCCAAGACGATGCATGTGACCACAACTTCAACTCCATCTCTCACAGCGTGTAGTATCTGTTCAGTGCCTTCAACAGCTTTTCCAGTGCTCACGGCTCAGGGTCGATCGGCCGACCTTCACGGCCATTTCGGCTATGATCAAGTGCAGCGTCTGTCCGAGGGGTGTGTTTCAAAAGTGTGCCGCGTGGTTTTTTCCCCCGGTTTCCCCCTAAGCCCCGGTTCCCCTTCACTTAAGTTTTCAGTTTTTTCAGGGCACCCTATCCCCTTTCGGCCCCGCTGGTAGGTTGTGTCCCTTCGCCCTGCAAGTGAGTGCGAGCCGAGTGCGCGATTGCCCTTTGCCCCCATAGGATCCCGAACCCCTGCTGCCCTGCCGCCCTAGCCCCGTAGGACCTTCCCTTCGGCCCTGCGCTCATTTCTCTTTTGCCGCGCTCGCAGGTTCAAGCTTGTAGGGGCGGGGGTTGCCGGGCCGTTGGGGGGTGGGCGGGAGAGCGTCGGCGCCTCAGATCGTTTGCGCTACGGGGTTTGTTGGTTTTCGGGGTTTCCCCTTCCCTAACCCCCTCGGTTACCCTACCTGTGATCGCACCTCCATTCGTGGCCTTTGATCGGACAACTGCGATCGCAGCCGATTTGAGCTCAAGCCTGGCATTGAGCTACCCAACAGCCTGCGGAGGTTGACTTTTGGCAATACAGCTTCAACCGGAGCTTGGACCGGCATCCAACATCCCCAGCTGCAGGAGAGGTTGGCGGCGAGTTCAACCACAGGTCTCCAAGGTTTGTCGCATCTGGTCGATACAGCAGCCATGCAGCTCGGCCGCTTCGCGCGCCGTGTGGCGTTGAAGAGGCGAGCGCTGCACAAGAGAGCACTGGCAATGTGGAGGACCCTCCGGAGTGCGGTGCGTGCAGTGGACAACGACAAGAAGAAGGCCGCCAGGAAGAAAGATGCCGACAGGGAGAAGGACGACGACAGGAAGAAAGACGATGACCGGGATGATCAGGACAAGGAGAGATGGAAGCTGGCCGTGCTGAAGACTCTGTACGAGCGAGGTCAGCTTGACGCATTCTGCCGATGAGAGGAGGAAAAAAGGGTTGGTGCGCGGTGTTGCCAAGCCACGGTTGCTTTCTCTGCGCGTGCGTGTGTGTGTGTGGCATCCCGGTCTGCCCAGGTTCGGACCTTGTTCGCACGTGCCGATCCTCAGAGTGTGCGCCAAGGGTTTTTTTTGGACTTCGAAGGGGTTGGGATTAGGGGGTCTTGTGTCTGCGTGCGTGCTGTGGCATCTGCTAGGTCGTTGATGTAGGTGCTTTGTGTGCCCTTCCCCTTGAGGCCCCAAACCTCGGGGCCCCCCTAGCTCCCAGGTCTGGAGTCCTCGACACGGGTCGCGGGGTCGCCGCCTGGACCTTGGTGCTGTTTGACATGCTTGACGTGAACTGCTGATGGGTTGGGGGAGCGGCTTTATTTATATAAATATCTGAATGCTTCTATTCCCGGCGTCCAGGCATATAGGCATTTAGAGATTTATATAAATAAATCGCTCCCCCAGGTCTGGAGTCTTCGACCCGGCTCACGACGCCTTACGGACGTTTCATCGCCTGGACCCCGGTGCCCTCTTTGCTGCCTCGTTAGCCGGCTGCTTTGTATCTTCACTTTACGACTCCTTCTTTAGTCGTGCAGCCATACCCGCTTCTTCGCCTCTGCATATGGTATGTAAGCTGCTACGTGACAGTATTGTGCAAGATACCCCAGCCGGGCGCGCCTACCTTAGTGCGCGTACCGTTACAAGATGCCTGGGCCAACCTGAAGTCTACTACTACTACTACTACTATGGCCTACCTCCAAGCCGAATGCAACATATGTTGAACTTGAAACTATGGACTAGCAGTCTTGGCGGGGTTCAGAGCGGGGAACAGATCAATGTAATGCCCATGGCGGGGGACATCAAGTCTGTCTCTCAACCAGGCGGACCCCCTTGGTTCCTCGGACAAACACAGTGTAAACCATGCATTGGGAAAACAGGCAGGAGGTGGCGGCCGAGACCGGCACCCAGACACAGGAGACGACAACCTAGAGCCAAAGTACGTAAAAAGCATGCAAGCTCGAACAGGATTGGCTCCTGGATGCCGCTGCTTGTGGAGATCATCTTGTGCCCCTCACCAGCGAGGGTACTCCGAGCTGTGCTTTTAGAGATCCTACTGCACCTTCGCATTCAGTTCTGCTGCATGGCATGGGTAGGGTATGCTGCATGGGCTCAGCACGGACTCCAACGGAGCAGGGAGGTAGCTATCATGTCGGACTCTTCTGTTGAGGAGGCTCCTCCATCTGACCGCCCGGCAGGACCTCCGATTCCACTGCCGATGCAGGCTCAGCAAACTATGGCCCACCATATCTCCATGGCGGTGGCTCGGGAGCTCTCTTTCCAGGGCGAGGTGCTGACTTACATACCGTGGGATGTTGACTTGGCATGTTTTCTCTTGACTTGGCATGGCATGGCTTAACTTGGCTTGTCTTGGCATGGCATGGCTTGGTTTGACTTGGCATGTTTTGTGTTGCTTGGCATGGCATGGCTTGGCTTGTCTTGGCATGGCATGGCTTGGCTTGGCATGACTTGTTGCTTGCTTTTGGCATGGTTTGTCTTGGCATGGCATGGCTTGGTTGATTGCTTGCTTGGTTGGTTGCTTGCTTGGTTGGTCGCTTGGTCGCTCGGTTCCTTGCTTGCTTGGTTGCTTGCTTGCTTGCTTGCTCGCCTGCTTGCTTGCTTGCTTGCTTGCTTGCTTGCTTGCTTGCTTGCTTGATGGCTTGCTAGTTTGGTTGGTTGGGTTGATGCTTGACTTCTGAGGCCACGATGAGTTCATCATGGCATCAGTCATCCGGTGTGGATCCCCAGATTCGTCGTTCGTGCGGCAACACATGCCAAGGCAAGGCATGCCAAGCAAGCTCATGCCATTCATGTCAAGACATGTGCACTTCGTGCCACGGCACGTCCTTTGGCTGGCTGTCCTGAGCGGCAGCTTTGAGGTCCCGGCCGGTGCTGAGCACCACGCAGACGACTCCGATGATCTCGAGGCCTGCTGTCATCCAGTGGTGGTTGTAGGTGTTTTCGGGCCGTGTTGTGGGTTCCAGGTGTTCGGTTTTCCTTGCAAATCCCCTTGTCTTATGTCGCCTTTTGGCGCCCATCGGCGGCTTGCTGTGTCAGGCTGACATGTCTGAGGCATTTGCGCGACCCACCCCCCCTTATGTTTGTTTCTTGGCCGAAGTGACTGAGGGAATGAGAGAGTGACTGGGAGTGAGTCAGTGATAGTGGGTTGAGTGTCTGAGTGAGCGATTAGTGAATGCTTACTTGTTTGAGTGAGTGAATGAGTGAGTGAGCCGATGGATTGGGCAGTGTGGGGTTGCTAGATTCTAGGATATCTGAGCTGCGGCGACGCAGCAACACTAGCTGAAAAGCTAATACTACGAAGCTCTCATCGGTTGGATTATGACTGAATGCCTCTGAATCGGAATTCATGCTAAGCAGTGTGGCCCACTATTCTCATTGCAACTGTTAACTTCAAGAGGCCGCAGCCATCAGCAGTGAGTTGGCAAGGAATCATGAAGCACAGTCCAACATGTCACCAAATCTTGTATATTGAAAGCTAAACCGAAGTCGCATTTGCACACCTGGGCCAAAAGCACACGCAACTTCAGACCTGCTTAGTGGCAAGTGTTGAGCATTTGATGCCGTGAGTGTCAACAGCTCGTGTTGACTACGTCCCTGCCCTTCGTACACACCGCCGTCGCTCCTACCGACTGAGTGATCCAGATCCGGTGAATCATGGTTTCAATCATGATCGTCAGAGACAATTACATCGAAGCTGAAACCTCGGGCGAATGGGATGAGACCCTTGCCACGGCGTTGTTGTCACGAGTCATAGTGCCAGAGCAGAAATCTGGCCTCAGATGGACTGGCTGCTTTTTGGCGTTTTCCAGTCGGCCTTATGTGAACCCGACATTCAATCCGATGATGAAGGACACAGGTGGCAACAAGTCGAAGCCCATGAAGGCGATGAAGGCCAAAGGTGGCAACAAGTGGAAGCCGATGAAGGCGATGAAGGCCACAGGTGGCAACATGTCGAAGACGATGAAGGCGATGAAGGCCACAGGTGGCAACAAGTTGAAGACAGTGCAGGCGATGAAGGCCGCAGGCGGCAACAAGTTAAAGACGATGAAGGCGACGAAGGCCACAGGTGGCAACAAGTTGAAGACGATGAAGAATGGCCGTGGCAACAAAGCAAACCCAAACCCACACCACGTCACAGGGGATGGAAGTGGGCAACCACCCCAAGCAGACCCAACCCCGAAC